GTTCCAAACCTCTAATCATTTTAGTTGCCCTTTTCTGAACCTTTTCTAGGGCCAGTATATCTTTTTTGAGATGAGGAGACCACATCTGTACACAGTATTCGAGATGTGGGCGTACTATTGATTTATATAAGGGCAATAATATATTCTCAGTCTTATTCTCTATCCCCTTTTTAATGATTCCTAACATCCTGTTTGCTTTTTTGACCGCCTCTGCACACTGCGTGGACATCTTCAGAGAACTATCCATGATGACTCCAAGATCTTTTTCCTGACTCGTTGTAGCTAAATTAGCCCCCATCATATCGTATGTATAGTTGGGATTATTTTTTCCAATGTGCATTACTTTACATTTATCCACATTAAATTTCATTTGTAATTTTGTTGCCCAATCACTTAGTTTTGTGAGATCTTTTTGAAGTTCTTCGTAGTCTGCTTTGGTCTTAACTATCTTGAGCAGTTTAGTATCATCTGCAAACTTTGCCACCTCACTGTTTACCCCTTTCTCCAGATCATTTATGAGAACTACCATTGGCGTAACTCTCTTCAGTGTTAGCAATAGCAGAAGAGCTAGTGTAGGCAGCGCTCGGGTATTTTTACTACAGTGTCATCTAGCCCTGCTCGGAGACAACTTTAATTCTGACTCCAGAATTTGGATAGGAAAAAACTTATTACACACTTTTGCAGTAAAAGCAAGTGCATTAGTAAGATATATTTCAATCTAGGTGAGGTTGGAGTTAGAGTGGCATGAATCTGAAGAAGGGGGGATATGTGCAATGGTGGGTTATAACTGACATGAAGGTGGGGAGTCTGGCAGAATGTTTGGGTGTTAGGATTTTGGGTTGGTAAGGTATAGTATGCCAAATGAGGTTGGTCTGGGTGTTAACAGTGACTTAACTCTGCTTGTAGGAAATGCAGTTGAGTGGCCTTCACTGTAAGAGGGGCGGGTGTAAGAGAGAGAGATGGAGGCCTGCTACAAATTTCAGATCGACCTTTTCGAGAATTCGGAGGGGTTCACAACCAAGGTTCTATCTATCTACCATGAACATGTATACAAAAATTGCACTCATTTAGGGCTTTTAGAGATCAAGAGGCCTCAAAGATCTTGTCCTTATGAAGCAGATGATTTGGAAGTAGGATGCTGAATCTCTCCACATTCTGTAGCGTCGATGGATGCTTACCTTATTATGTGACAGGGAGTATTGCCATTGGTCACCCAGTCCCAAATCAAGTGACACACCCTTAATACATTTATTTGTTTGGCTGTTTGGCTGTTTGTTTAGTGGAGTCAGCCACTTAAAGAACTTCATTTGTTCAATACAGTAACTCCTCACTTAAAGTCGTCCCGGTTAACGTTGTTTCGTGTTACATTGCTGATCAATTAGAGAACATGCTCATTTAAAGTTACACAATGCTCCTTATAATGTTGTTTAGCAGCCACCTGCTTTGTCCACGGCTTGCAGGAAGAGCAGCCCATTGGAGCTAGCTGGTGGGGGCTTGGAACCAGAGTGGACCGGCAGCCCCCCATCAGCTCCCCGCTCCCCTAAGTTCCCTGTGTGGCAGCCACCCAGCAGGCTATCAATTGCCAGCAGTTCAGGCTGTCCCTCCCCCTACTGCCATGTGCTGCTCCTGCCCTCTGCCTTGGAGATGCTCCTGGGAGCCCCCTGCTTATCAAAGGGGTGCTAATGTCAGGGTGTCCCCCTCCCCCTTGCTCCTGCCCCCCTGCTTATCCTATCTCCATGGTGCGGGGGGAGAACACGGGAGGGAGCTTTCTGGCAGCAGCGGCTGTCTCAACTTACCGATCTACTTAAAAAGGCAATGTACTTAGAGTGGGGTCAGCATACTTAAAGGAGCAATGCGCATCTCTCTCTCTCTCTCTCTCTCTCTCTCTCTCACAGGGTGTGTGTCTCTGTCTCTGTCTGCCATAATGTCTCCCCTCCCTCCATTTGTGCTGCCTTGTAGAGTGTGAGGCTACATTAACAACAATGTGTTAACCCTTGAGGGCTCAGCCGAGTGCTAGTTCATCATTTAGCCAGTAAGGCATTCCCTGGGAAATATCCGACCCTCTGACTTCACCACCTCAACCAAGTTTCACAATCATCATTGCTGTGTACAGTATTAAATTGTTTGTTTAAAATTTATACTATGTGTACACACACATACAGTATAAATTTTAAACAAACAATTTAATACTGTACACAGCAATGATGAAAAAAATCCCCCTCCTCCCCCTATTTACATTAATTCTTATGGGGAAATTGGATTTGCTTAACATCGTTTCATGTAAAGTCGCATTTTTCAGTAACATGACTACAATGTTAAGCAAGGAGTTACGGTATATTTTACTTTTAAATTCAGCAATACTAGTCTAATGACAGTAAAATTGTTGAAATAGTCAGACCCTAGCAACAAACAGGACTTTTGTAATGAAATCCGACATTACCACCATGATCAAGTCTCAGTGAAGGACATAAGTCAACCACTAACCACTTGAGGTTAGATAGACCCAAGCCCCACTGCCCCTAGCTAAGTCATTGCATAGTTGTGTATTAAGTTTGTATGTAGGGAGATTACTCCTTTATTTACAGTTAAATATGGGATACTAGACTTGATGGTCCACAGGTCTGATCCACTCTGGCAATATCTATGTTGCTAAATTCCACCCAATAATATATAGTATTCAGTTATTTTACCATAAGTTCGCAAAGGATCAAGATATAGTTCAGCCATCAAGGAAACTAAACTTTTGTCTACAATTCCAGGATGAGTGACAAAACAATACTGTGTTGAAGCCAGTTTATATCCTAAAGGTTATTGTTGCAATCGGTAGAGTTAAAGTTAGCATAGATTGTGTCTTTATATGAAAGGCTAGCACTTGATTCTCCTCTTGTTTATGTCATGGTTACTCACAATTTATACCAGTATGAGTGAGATCAGAATCAAGTCCTTGCAATCTTCAGAAAACATAAAAATCTGAATCCTTTGAATTGACCACATTTCCATACCCCTGGAATTCTATTGCACCTGTCAGGCTTGCCTTTTAATTCAGGCACCATTTCTCATATGTGTAGAGTTATCCTGGTTTTGCAAAGTGGATATGGATAAAATTGACCATCGTAACCCATTCTAGTTCATTGTAACAGTCTAAATCCCTGAAGGCTTGTTTCAAACGTTTTAATTTATGCAGCAAAAACTCAGCAGAGCATGAATTCACCTGCTTTATGTGCAGGATTCCAGGTGCAAAAAACAAACACACACACACTAAGCTTAAAGCACTCTGAGGTCAAAGCAAAGCTTGGAAACACAGAGGGGTAGTGTTGACAATTCTGCTGAGCAACAATACTCGTTTTTCATATGTAAAACAAACAATTTATCCTGATTCTCCCTGTGCACATTGATGGGTAAAAGACATCCTTTCAGCCATTGAAACTATTAAATCCTACTATGAATCTGCTTTGGATTGAAACATAACTGTATATCATTTAATTTTCAGTTTCCAATGGATATGGTATTCTTTATGTCCTGTCATAAACAGCTGCTTAGTACTGCAATGTGCTGTTAAACTGTTTCTGTGTTGTACCCAAGAGGTGACTGCATTTCAGCACTTATTACATATAGTCTGTAAAGCACTTTAGAATCCTTCAGCCTGTTATTTATATTACATTTATTTGCATTTATCCTTTTCTTTTATTTAAAGGTATGAGCACGTTGGAATCTCCCACAAATATTCCTTCTCTCCCCCTTGATTTCTCTGCCTGGAATTTAACTTGGGTCATGAAAGACTCTTCCCCATTCTTCCCTCACAGCGGACAACATGGTAAGTAGGCTTATTCTCTATTCCCATGCAACTTTACATAAATACTGTATCGGTGTGGTAGTAGTTCAAAACATTAAAATAAGACGGTTCATGTTAAAATAGCCGTGTTCCCCCTGCTATTAGAGAGGGTCTGCACTAGCAGATCAGATTGCTGGGTCATAACCACTACACTTTTAATTTACCTACCTTTATGGTTGGGCCCAAGCCGCTAAACATGTATCTTGGATTGCAAATGCCTCAAAGTGTGTTTGGAGCTGAGAATGTGTTTGGCCTACTATAAAGATAGGGACCATTTTCAAAATTTGGGTTTGTTACATCACCTTCACTGGGGCAAGATGAGAGTGGAACAGATCTGGGATTATGGTTCAGACTGTTCTCTGATATGACCTAATTAATGATAATGTAAAACCACATTCATATGGTAGAATGATATGCCAGTGTTTTCCTGGTCAGAGCAGGATGGAATAAAGATATATCCAGCATGCAATTCAGTAAAAGGACTGAAGGAGGATATATCCACTACCAGTTTCTCATGAGAAGAGATAAGGTGGAGAGAGGCTAATAAGATTTACTCACCCCAAGCCTGTAATTATCTGCTTGAGGGAAAAGTTTGACCTACCTATATGAAGGAGTTCCATATATCTTCAAATTTATGTTGCAGCCTTTTATGCTGTGCAATATATATTATTTGTACTGGCATACAATAGCTGCTTCTAGCTGTTGTAGCTGCGTGACTGATGAGGACGCACCAATTTCATTTTAGAAGGGACAGTAGCAAATCCCCCGCCCCCCCCCCCAGCTTTCACAGAGGCTTCAAGGAAGATTTCTCATTTATTCTTTATTACTTCATCCTAACCTCTTTAAATTTCTCAGAAATATGATTCCAAGAGAAGGGTTTGTTCTAAGAACCTAAAATCATGTGGATTGGTTCCATCTAATGGAATCACATGTAGATAAATGTACTGTATCTAAGTTTTAAATGACTTACAATGACTTTTGGCTGATTATATAATCTGTCTGGATGAAGTTCTATCAATGCCCAACCCACCATTCTGCAATTAATGGCAGGAAATCGATTGTATATGTTACACAAAGATGATCCCTGCTCAGTGCTCCAGAATTGGCAGAGACAATATTTTCATATGTAACCCTTCTGCCAGGTGGAGCTAGCAGCAACAAGGGCGGGGTTCAGTATCTAGGGGTTCCTTTTCGACAATACTAAACAAAATCAGTTTGAGCCCGAACCCAGTGGACCTGGGACAATTACACACCACTCCCTGGGCACCTCTAAGAGGCAATAATTCCCTTCTCACAAGCAGAGAGTTTGAGTCTAGCAAAAACTTTTAATAAAAGGAGAGAAGTAACTCAGCATTAATTTGGGAAAACCCTGTAACTAGGGTTCATAAACATAAACCATGAGCAAAAGACCCAAGTAAGTTGGGCAGTGTCCTTTTCCCCTCAGGTTCTTAAGTCCAGCAACCCAAAAGTCCTTTTAATGTGCCCGTCCCACCCCACTCACAGTTTCTGTCCTTGGCCAGTGCAGCCCCAGAGTTCGGAGGTTCATCTGCACAGTTCACCTCCCGCCTTGGGTAGAAGGCGGGGCAAGGAGGCACATTACATGCATTGCCCTGCTGGCCGATTGCCACTCTGCTCTGGCCCTCTCAGCCAGCCACCCTGCTGGTCGTGTGCCTCCCCACCAGCTGCCCTGCTGGCCACTGGCCGTGCCTCTCCGCCAGCTGCCCTGCTGACCACTTGCCAAGATGTTTTCAGGGCCAACCACTTAACACGGCTCTCAGTGATTTCAGCTGTTAGTGGGGGAACCTTGCTGGTGCACGTGGGGCAGGCTCTTGAAATAGAGACACTGTCCCAAAGTAGGCCTAATACTTAGACCAGGGATTGGCCACCTTTGGCACACGGCTCGCCAGGGTAAGCACCCAGGCGGGCCAGGCCGATTTGTTTACCTGCTGCGTCCGCAGGTTCTGCCGATCACGGCTCCCACTGGCCACAGTTCGCTGCTCCAGGGCAATGGGGGACGGCGGGAAGTCGTGCTTACTGTGGTGGGCTGCGTACCAAAGGTTGCTGATCCCTGACTTAGACCTAAGTATCAGTGATTGCAGCTCTGTAGCATGTAACAAGACTCTCAATTGAGTCTAAATTAGCTCTTTTATTATACCGTGCAGAGAAGAATGGTCAAAGGGTGTCTAGAACCCTTAAACAGGGCCCGCACCACCAGGTACAAATACCTGTCCTCCCCCCTACCTCCCCCCCCTCAACTCATTGGGCTTTGGAACCCATGTCCCCTGCCTAGCAAGTGCCGTTCAGTTGAGAGTGAGTCCCTCCATCAGGGTATGCCGGGTACAGTTCTGCTGCCCTTGGTTCACACAACAAGGATAACAACCCTTTATTACTCCTGCCCCAATAACAAGGAGACTGGGGATCCAACACCAGCCACAAGTGATCATTTAGGCAAGCAATCCCATCATGCTGAGCACCTAAGCAGGGAGTGTATGTCCATGCAAACAAGATCAGCTCCTGAAGTCCTTTTCCACTGCTCACCACTAGATGTCAGGAGAGAGCTCATTCAGACTCTGCTTACATCTAGAGAGGTTTCAGAGTAGCAGCCGTGTTAGTCTGTATCCGCAAAAAGAACAGGAGTACTTGTGGCACCTTAGAGACTAACGAATTTATTAGAGCATAAGCTTTCGTGGACTACAGCCCACTTCTTTGGATGCATATAGAGTGGAACGTATATTGAGGAGATATATATACACACATAGAGAGAGCATGAACAGGTGGGAGTTCTCTTACCAACTCTGAGAGGCCAATTAAGTAAGAGAAAAAAACTTTTGAAGTGATAATCAAGATAGCCCAGTACAGACAGTTTGATAAGTCTGAGTGTCTCTGGATAAAGTTGAGAAGTGTGAGCAACAAGGGTGATGTCGTGGTTGGAGTCTGCTATAGACCACCAGACCAGGGGGATGAGGTGGACGATGCACACGTGCAGC